AATCAATCAATTTATGGTCAGAGATGCAAAATCTATCACTAAAATAGAAAATTTCTTCTACCATTAAAATAAATCATTTCTTTTAAATATATAAGCTACTACGCACTCAAAATAATACTATATAAAACAACGAGATTTGATAACTTGTTAGCTTGTCATCAATGGTACCGTTGTGGCTCGTGGAAAATCATTTGACAAAAAAACAAAAACAAAGATTAACCTAAACAACGACATAAGTAGACGAAATACTCTCATACTATCCATATTTCGAGAACATAATATATACAAATCGAACGAGAGATATATTGAATGGTGAAAGAAAAGACTTGGATTATTGTCTGTTGAGAAATCAATCATAAATTTCGTGTCCTGATTGCTATAAAAGAAAAACTTTATTAGCTAATTTTCTATATTAAAAAGTGTTTTCACGTACACAAAAATACTCCTAAAATTTTCTTCTACATGCGAGCATAGCAAGCAACAATCCATTTCTTAGTAAAATATAACTTACCACCAAGATCAAATAAATTCATTGAATTAATTGCATCTTGTGCTGCTTGAACTGTATCATATTCAATAAAACCATAACCTCTAAAATTTCATTAATTAAAACTTTAATATTATAAATGAAAAAGACATATACTTATGTTTTCCTGTTGCTGTATCTTTTGATAATGAAGAACTTTTAATTTTTCCTTGAAAATAAAATAAAAATGAAATTATTGTTTTTTTGTTTTTTTTTAGAAAATATTTTTCTTTTTTTTTGTTTTACCAAAAGCTTCAAATACACTTTGAATGTCTGTTTCACTTAAATCTGGATGAATAGAAGCAACATAAATTCGATTATAATTTTTTGCTTCTTCTGTTAATTGATCAATAATTGGTTGTGCTTGTGGCATATTCGATGGTCGACCAACCTATTTGAATAAAATAATAAAAACAAAAAAAAAAATTAATATGAGAATTTTTCTATTTGTTGTTTCTTGATATTTCTCTTACTTTAATATTTCTTCCACCTAGTATAACTCCATTCATTTGTTCAATAGATAATTGTGCTGCTTCTGGTGTTTCATATTCAAGAAAAGCAAAACCTTTATGACGATTTGTTACAGGATCAAATGTTAATGAAACTGATTTAACTGGACCAAATGGTTGAAATGCTTGTTTAAGCATAGCTTCATTTAATTCAAAATTAATACTTCCAATATAAATTCTATATTTTAACACAAAAAATAAATAAATAAATAAATCAATATCTTTTTGAATTTTATATTATAATGTAACGTAATATTTACCGACACATTAATAAAAGTGCTTGTTGTTTTTTAATTAAATCTAATTGTGCACGTTGTTGATGTTGTTGTTGTCTAACAAGAACATATTTAACACTTTGTTCCATAGCAAATTTTTTTGCACGTTTAACACTATCATCATCAGTTGGTCGAATTTTATAACGTCCTGTATCACGTTTAGCTCCTGGTCCTTGATATAATGGGCCACGTTGATCATATTCAATAACATTTATAAATGGTACAAATGGAGAAAGTTCACGTGGTAAACGTGGTATATCTTGTAGTGTAACTTTTTTTTCATTAGGATTTGTTGTTTGACCATTGTCTAGAAAAAAGATAAGAAAATACAAAATATAACAAATACGAACTCTTTTTAGAGAATAATTCTAGATGATCAGGCATATATGGACAGCATGTTTGATTAATGTTGTCACTGAAAAAGGGATAGAGAAAAAGAAAGCGAAAAACAAAAAAAGAAATTTATAAACAAAAAAGATTCGTGGCTTCTTTCTTTCTTTTTTTTTTGTTAATGATAAGTAGAATATTGTTGAATACCTAAAATAGGGAGATAAAAGAAAAACGACAAAGTAATATTTTCAAAAGTCTTTCTGAAGAAGTTTTTTTTCTTTTCTTTTTTTGATGTTGATAATTGTCTGTAGATTGAAGATTTGTATGTCGAAACACTTATTCATATTGATAAATGTTTTTCTGCAACACGGAGAAGAAAAGAGAAAAAAAATACAAAACTGAGATTTTTTTGAAAGATAATTGATCATTATAATTTATAGAAAAAAGAAAGGCATGCAAAGCAAAAACAAATCTGTTTGTATTGATATAGAAAATTTAAAATTAAAATAAATACAAACTTACCTATTATCATTGTATTTGAATGATCAGGAATCATTGTTTCTGTCATTATGAAAAAAAAACGTTTTTTTTATTTATCTGAAAATATTTCTATTGTAGTAAAGATTCCACAAAAAAAATAACGTTTAAACAATCAATTACAAAAGATATTACATATTCTGTTCTTGTCTGTATGTATTTATATATATATATATATACAACAATAAAAAAATATATATATGGTTTATTTTATTAAGGTACAATTAAATAGGGTTGACATGGAACAAATTTATTTTCATCATGACAATCTTGTAACCAATCAAGTGAAAGAAATTTTATTTCGGGATTTGTTTTTGATATCTAGAAACATCAAAAAAAAAGAAAATCTATAAATAAATAATTCAATGAAAGTGAATATTATTTCTTTGAATACTTTTTAAGATTATATCTTACAAATAGATAAGTTACTCAGATTGTAAGAGTATAAAACAAGCATATTCACCAGTTAAAACTATGATTCAACAATATATATGTGAATCAGAAAACCATATATGACATTGATTCATTGAAGCATCATCGAATCAGAGTCCGTCGGATCCGGATCCGATCGAACTGTACTTTGATACTTTCAATGAAATTTTTCTAATCGGAATCGGATAGTCGTCCAGAAGAGACGTGATACTTTTCTTCCGGCTTTTTGTATTTGGTGGCTGAGTGCACCCTACACATTTATCAGACGATTAGAGCCCATTGGATTCGTTTATGTTGACTACATGAATAAAAAAGAACGAGTACGGAAGAATTATTTTAGATGCAATACGAATAACTAAAATCACTGGAACTGGGATTAAAAAAAAACTTTTTCTTGCACATCTCTAGTCCAGAACCAATCTGATAGACTCTACTCCCAACTAGAAATTATCATAAAGGATGGATGCTGACTCTTTGATGAAGAGAAGAACTCTAATTATCTATATTTGATATAAAAATTTATTTATACTTTTTCAAACTCTTGATTCCATAATCGGTTTGTAATAGCATATTGAACATCTGATGTAGTTTGTTTTTCTAATATTCCATCATAAGCGTAAATAATTCGACGAATATCACGAAGTGTATTATCATTAAAATCATCATTGAATGCATAAAAATGTTTTCCATGAAAAAAATTTGCTAATTCAAAAATTTTTTTATTCGTTTCTGGTTCATCTTCATCAGTTTCAGCATTATAAACTAAAAAGAAAATAAATAATTATATAATAAAATTCTAGTCTTTACGAGAAGCAATAGCGTGAACATCGAATAGAAAAAATAAAATTGGTATTTTTATTGATTTAAGTGATGTAAAATATACTTTACCCCATGGTCAATTAAATAAAGCGTAAAATTTTGTTTCAGTTTTTGTTAAATTCTGAAATGTAATCCCCTCACAAAAAAAACAGAACAACTTTCAGAGCTATAGAAAGAAAAAATTCGTTTTTTCATGCAAGATAAATACACTTTATAAGTAAGTGATTTAGTTTGTACGTTATTGGTTGATATCCAAAAAAAGGAACGTTTCTTCTAAGACTTTATTAATAGAAAAAATAATTATCATTGTTTACTTCGGTTAGATATTACACATACATATGTGTTTAGTGAAGTAAGTACACGCAGTATAGCACAGCTGAAATACTAATGAAATTTTGACATGACTACTACGTATGTATAGATGCTTCAGAACGAAGAAACAGGTTTGTCTGGTATTTTTTTTCAGCTCACAAGCACTGTTAAATAAAAGTAACGATCGATTCAAATTTAGTACGAGAAAGTACATCGGATAGTTTAGAGTTTGTTAGTTTTTGCCAATTAGAAACTAATATTTAAAAAAAAAAAAATATCATTTTGACAGAAAACAAACTATGTCTATGTGAAAAAATGAAATTTGCCTATGTACGTTATTGAATCAAACATATAGTATGATTAGATAAGCTTTCATTGACTTAACCTTTTTGTTCTGAATGTTGAGTATTTATTCTAGTGACAGTTAGTGGAAGACAATTTCTTTTTCAAAATTTGATAAAGATGATACAACTAAAGTATGAGTACTACTCATCTATTGATACAGAAGAAAGAAAGAACGAACGAACCGCTTAAAATCATTTCTATGAGAGATGATAACAAAAAAAGGACTCATTCATTCAAAATTTTGAAACGTAACGGGTAACCAATAAAGAATGAAACACTTTAATTTTCTTTGTTTTTGGAAACAGCAAAACAGTGTAAAGAAACCATTCTCAGTTTATTCAAAATTCACAGCCACTCAGTCGTTGAATTGCGACTGTCAGACAACAGAAACATTTATTAAAAATGTGTTTAAATAACAGTTTCGCTGGAATCTGAAATATACAGTAAGACACGTCGTGAAATGCTGTATGTCACAATGTTTCGTAATTTTATAAAAGAAACAATTTTTTTAGCAACAATTAGAAAACGATGCAAATGACTCTTTCTGACAACTCTATGCCATTGGAGACAGTCTAAAGATTTCCGTAATTCAGTTGAAATATTACATCATTTTGTTTAGAATTAAATTCTACATTCCATGATAAACTATTCATAGAGGATGCTTAGTTTTGAAAATAGAAGTTTCGAAAGTGTATTCAAAATAAAATACTACCAGATGTTAGTTCTAATGGTACCTTTGAATAGTATTTCCATGCTTCAAAACCGAAAAAAGAAACTGTCTCATTATTTATGGATCATCCGTTAGTTAGAAAAATAATAAGATTCATATTACCATCATCATTGTCGGAAGTAGTTATTTTTTTTGGAACTATGCTGTCTTCATTTTCATCATCATCGTCATCAAAAGTTGTGATTTTCTTTTTAGTTTGTGGTTTTTGTTTAATATTTTTTGAAACTACAGGTTCATCATCATCATCATCATCAAATGTTAACATCTTTTTTTTAATTGGTGTTTTTCTTGTTACATCTTTTGATAAATGATATTCTTCATTTTCTTCTTCTTCTTCATTATCATCATCAAAATTCATTATTTTTGTTGGATTTTTTTCTGATATTCGATTTGGTTTATCTTTCTTTATGATATTACTATTATTATTCGATCCTTTTAATTCATAATTTTTTTCGGATAATAATTGATTTTGTTTATAACAATCAAGTATCCATTGTTTATTAACAATAAAACCTTTTCTTGTTTGTTTAACTTGTGTAAATTTTGGTGTATTTGGAAATGCACAACTAAAATTCAAAATAAAATTTTTGATATTTTTTTTTGAAAATTAAAATCATATGAACATACATAAGATGTGTACATGTTTCATCCCAATCATCATTATAAATAGCACCCATTGTTGTTGCTTTATTACGTAATTCAGATCTTAATGGATTTTGAAAACCACTTAAAACAAAAACAATATTTTTCATTATTTTAGTTTTATCTTGAGCTAGAATACAAATGAAAATTAAATTAAATAGTTAGAGAAAAATATTATATATTTTTTTTTTAAATTACTTTTGCTTCGTTTAATTTCATTCTCATTAATGGATGATTCTAATTCATCTGACATACGACGTTTTGATAAACGATTTGGAGTATTCTAAAGGAAAATCTTATTTTTGTCTTTTTTTTTTTTTGAAAACCAAAGAATTTTTTCTTTCTTTACTTTAACATCCTTTTTTAATAATGTTTGAATTTCATTATCATCCATTGATTTTCTACTTAATAATTCATCAGCAACACTAGATAAAGCACGTATTTGAACACTAGCACTTGGTTCAGAAGGTTTTAGATTTTTTTCAGCTTGTTTTTTAGCAAAAAATGAACCAATTTTCCTTTGTTCTTTACCAGTTTCATCATCATCATTATCATTATCAATAATAATAGAAGATTTCTTTAATAATTCGGATTGATTTGTTTCATCGGCTAATGATGATGGTGAATATAATTTAATAAAACATAAACCAAATTGATTTAAACGATTAAATTTTTGTTCACAAATAATTTTTAATCGATCCCATTTTTCATTTAAACATATTGAATTTAAATCAGATGATTTTAATAATTTAACTTGATTACGATTTATATTTGAACGTGATTCATTTGGTGTCATAAGAAGTGTTGCTGGTAATAAAAGTGTCCAATCATTTGTTTTTGATGATGATGATCGAGATACAAATAATTCAATAAATGCACTACCATCATTACCAATATCAATAGATGATATTAAACTAGATTTTTCAAATTCAATAATACATGTTATATGTTCATCACTACCTTTCGATGATAACCATTTTTTATATTGTTCAGGTTTTAATAAATTTTCGGCACAATGAATCTTAACAAAGAAAATTATAGAATAAACATATAAATATTTTTGTTTTTTTTTTTTTATTTCGTAAGACTAACTCGATCTTCACTAGAACAGGAAAGAATATTTCGAAAATTGATTAATGGCATAGAAATTGTTTGGTTATCGAAAATAAATAGAGAACAAGAATTTAATCAATTATAATAGAAGTAAAAAAAAAACCATAGAAATCGATTGAAATATAGAAGAATGAGAGTGATGAAGCAAGTCGGAAGAACATTTATGATTGGTAAAATAATCGATAAGGTAAAGAAATTTACATCAGAGGACGCTAGTGAATTTATATTGAAGAGGACGCTAAAATATTTCGATGACTTTTTATGTTTTATCTCCGCATAGAAGTGTAAGCCTATCAGCAGAGTTGTCGT